GCAAATTATGTTTTATAAGGGGCTCAGCTGTCTTATAATCTTCTGAGAACAACATTCACTATACGGATAGTATTTAATGTAACAAGTTTCTGGCGTGATCATGTTAGAACTAACAAAATAAAATGATACAATGATCAAATTTCACTTTTATTTCTTGATAACATTATTATTGTTTTGGTGTCCAGTACCACATGCATTACTTCGCTGAACGCTATCTGTACTAAAACAGAAGTAATAAATCGTTTGCTCGTCATGACCATGAACCGACGCTATGTAAATTGCTTAACAAAGAGGAGTCACGAACCCTTTTTTTATTTTTATTTTTGTCCTTACGTTGTGGTTAACAAAGAACGCGCTGGGATCTTTGACCTTGTTTTAGCGCATGCGTAGCGTGTTGCTAAGCCTCTGGAAGCCACGTCAGCGCCCACCTCTGTCTCGTGAGAAAGCTTTATGGCCCAAAAGAAAAATTAGATTTACTAGCCATTGTGAGGTATTTGCTCCTGCATTTTACACAGCTGAGCAAAGTGTGCACGTCAACAGATGTATTGAAACACTGACAATATTGGTGTGCCCTTAAAAATTAATGAGTCACCGTTAAATTCCGTTTTGAAAGTCAGTTGTAACTGTAGAGGCATTGGTCTTTAAGAAAAAATAAATAAAATAAATCACATCTAAACTGTATCGCCATGATGTGTAGGAAATGATGCAGAAGATATACAGTTTCAGCACTGTCAGGCTTTAAACCTAATGTTGTAAGTTTTTACTAATTCATATTTGGGGTGTATTCTGGACAAACGTTATTTATTTAAACATATTTATTAATGTGAAATAATAGTCACTGAGATGTGTTGTCCCGTTGTTGTTGTTGTTTTCCAACACTTGTAACACCACTGGTGTTATATGTTCGTGCGTTGTAAAGAGTGTTCAGTTCAGATATTCTTGTTTGACCCACAAGATTTTAGTACAAAGCTACATAAAGGGCTACCCGCGTATAGCCGACCCTAATTTTGAACTTATACGCTAGAGCAACGTTTTTCCACTTTTTGGACACCAGGGACCGGCTCGCTGCCTCCGTAAACTGTCGTGAATCACTGAAATGCAAGAACAACGAAAATTCAGTACGATTTACATACAAATATTCTGTCAGTTTTTGTTTGTTTTCGTGAAATGTCACGAACCTGCTAGGTGGTTGAGTAACATTGGACTATAGGAAAAGCAGATAGTAAACAGCACCATCCACTAACTTTTGGATAACTCTTATTTGACCGAATAGTGGAATTTGACCGCCATACTTATAGCTCACCCACAGCCTCAAAATTATGGAACAAGTTATTTTTTTTTTTCCAACAAAACGCGAACCATGAACCCTCGGCTTCACAGTTCGGGCATGCTATCTCTAGGCCATACCCGGATTTAATTACCGTATTTTTCGGAATATAAGACGCACCCTTATTTTGAAGACAAAGTTTTTTGGAGA